AGTTTCAGAATTGACATACTACTTATGGAAAAAATGTATATGATTTTCCTATACTAGCAAAAGGATCTTAATTAAAGAGTGACAAGGGTAGCCCTTAAGACAAGAAAAATGATGACTTCAACCATTTTGAAGAAACCCAATCTTTCTCTCGCCCTCTGTGGGCCAAAACATCTAACAATTTGTGTTGACATCGCATTGTTAGGAGGAGAGGACCAGACCTTCCTAAGCAGCCTCTCTTGTAAGGGAAGGACTTAGTAAGGTGACTGGATCTGGTTGGATTTGGCTGTCCGAGTCCGGGTGGCCACAGGGCAAGTTACCCATAGTCATTTCCTGTTTGATGGATATATGGAGGGAAAAAGAACTTCAGTGTAACTTTGCCAACTTCACCAGGTGACCACAGCCGAAGATTAAGTCTCAGGCACAAATAAGGGCCCACCTTGAACAGGTGGTTGCCCATCAGAGTAGACATCGAGTTCAGGGTCTAAAAGTCTGATCGGTGCGCACAGATGGCAGAGTGGAAGGGGTTTGTTTAGTTTGCGCATGCTCAAAAACCGGCAGACGCAAACCCGTTCAGAAAACGCTGTGCACAAACAGTGGGCAGGTCCCGAACGACTACCTCAGAGTTGCTATAGCAGTCTTTGCATCTGATCCTCGCAACAGCCTTTTCAGCAAAGGATGGAATGGTTGTTCAGGTTCTTACTTTTTAACAGATGTAGAAATTAAGAGACAGGAGATTTGTGGATTTCAGTGATTAGATATCCAGGATCCCAGCCTGAGGTATTTTTTATATCAAGCCAGATATAAAGTGGGACAGCTAGGTGTGAGGTGTCTGAGTGAATACTAAACTAACTTCTAGAAAAACCTGTGGCCTATAATTAGAAGCATGGCAGAGAAAACCATCTGAGCATCCTTTTCTCTGTTTACCTGGTACCTAATTGGCCCTCCTCCCCTCCATCCGGTACCACGTAGTGGTTGGAGAACTGGGCCGAGTGGATAGTGATGTCCACTGCTGCTGGAGTCTGGGCCGAGCCAGCAGCATCCCCCTTCCAGGCCCAGACGACAGCTCTCCTAGGGAGCGGCCAGTGGCTTCTCCTTTCCTAGGTGCCGGCAGCTCCTGTCCTGTGGGTGACTCCCTTCCTGGCTGAGGCAGTGACCCCAGGAGCAGGGGTCATGCACCAGAAATGACAGAGTCTGGCACAGAAAGAAGTGACTGGCCGTGTTGGCATAGGCAGTGCAGCTTGAAAGCCTCACCCAGCATTTGGGACAGTTTTCAAGATTTGAAACAAAAATCTTCTAAATTTATCTGTCTGGAAGTCTTTGTTGATGTCTGTAAGGTAATTGTGGCTTTAAATTTAACTGAGAAATTCTTAGTTATATTCTTTGTGGGTTTTTGGTTGTTTTTTTTTTTTTGATTTGTGGTTTTGGGTATGTTGATTTCTGAATAGCTTAGACTTGGACCCGTAACACCTCAGTAATCCCCAGCCTCTCGCAATGGTTTAAAAGGAGGACAAGCACAGGAATCATTTACTAAGTACTGCTCACCAAAACCAGATGGAGAAGCAAGCCCACGTCTTGTGCCACTGTCCTGTTCTCACCTTTGGACTGTGCATGTGCTTCCTCTCTCTCCACCCTGACTCCTGCCCGGGTCATCGTGTCTGTACAAAGTCTGAGACACATATGTGAGTGTTTTGAGGTTGTTGATAGACTGACATCTTTTATATGATACCTACATGGCATGATTTTAATTTAAGGGGAAAGCAAGGCAGAATTAGCAGAAGTTTTTGAAAATGTAAGCTTTTTTAATTCATTTTGAGTGAAGTGTGTAACCTGAGGGTCGGGTAGTGGAAGGTTTGTATTTACAAATGAAAAGAATCTGCAGGAGGTATATCCAGATGCCAGGGTAAGTCTGCTGCCCTTGGCCGTGTTACAGGTACAGTTATTCAGGCAGCCAGACAGTAGCTCCCTGCCTGAGCAAACCTACAGAGAAGGGCGTCATGGGGCGGGGGTAGAGCGCTCCGGTGGTTAGAGCAGCCTGTGTTCTTCAGCAAAAGCCTTTGTTGTTAATTTGTTGTTTTTTAAAGTTTATACATGTTTATTGTCACCCCACCCCTAAAAAATCAGGCTATAAACTGTGAAACCGTGCAGCAGTTCCACTCATCCCTTGTCCCTAAGCCACCCAGTTCCGGGCCCACAGACATCCAGTTATACTAGTTTCTCATGGGGTGTCCCTCTGGAGATGCTTTGTGTGTGACCAAAAGGTTATATGCTACTTTTGCCTCGTTTTTGCACAAGTGGTAGTGTACTACACACTCTGCTCTGCATTTTGTTTTTTTTCCATTTTGCCAAATTTCTAAAGGGACCTTCCATTTCATTCTTGTAATGGCCTCACTGATTGCTAGGTAGTTTGTTTTCAGACGTTTACTTCTACAAACAATGTGTAATTAACTTCCTTGTACATAATAGTAAAGGTGCATACTTTAGACACAACTTGACTAAGTTGCTTTTTCTGACTTCCCAGCCTGCAGCAAATTGGGCAGAAAAGGTCCAGCTCCATCTAGGCATTGGGAAGATGATATGAGGAAATCAAATCACAAGTTACAGCTTGTATCAGGACAAGAAACAACAGTCACAAAAATACCAAACAGCAGCAACGACCACAAAAAGCTACTAAAGCTCACAGCATATAACCCAGAGGCCGCAATCCAGCCCCCCAGCGGAAGGCATGGTTTGCTCAGTGATTATTTATTGAGCACAAGCTGCGTGCCAAGCCCAGAGAATGGGGTGTTCCTGAAGCTCCAGCTGAAAAGCATACCCTCTTTAAGGAGTCAGAGGGTGTTGCGTGCGGCCTTTAGAGAAAAAATTGCCGTTCATCTGGCTGAAGTGATTTCAGTTTGGCTTGCTTTCAAGAGATAGCCCTCCTAGGGCTCTGGTGGGCTGGCTTTTTT